CTAACATCGCGCGACACATTACCCCCACGCCGCCGCCACCGCCGGCGGGGACATGGGCGGGGGCGGGGACATGGCCCCTCCACCCCGCTCGGGGGAGGCCAACCCCCTAGAAGTAGGGGCGGAGATCGTCATCGTCGTTGCCGAGCCGCCGCTGGTGGTCTTGACTCCGACGATGGCGGCGGCGGCGGCGTCGAGAGGAACGCCATCCACGTCCTCCTCGTCATCGGAAGACGACGAGCTCGGGTTGCCGAGGTTAGTCTTGACGGGCTTCCACTGGCTCCTGCCGCCACCGCCGGCTCCGCCGCCCGCAGCACTCCCGGAAGACGGAGCGGGAACCCTCCTGCTACCGCCGTCGCCGCCGGCACCGTGTTTACCGGTGCTCCCTGCCACCGCCGCCGCTGCCGCAGCAGCAGCAGCAGCAGACGCCTCGTCCAGCGGTACTCCATCCAGGTCCTCCTCATCATCATCGTCATCGTCATCACCACTGCCTTCGTCTTCCGCCCGACCGCCCGCGTTGCCGCTGCTACCGTTACTCCCCGCGCCAGCACCAGCAGAAGCGGCGGTACCGCCCGCTTTTCTCGCCGCCTTGCGTTTGGCGTACTCGTTGAGGTAGTTGAGCCGCTTGAGGAGGTCTAGAGCGGAGAGGCCCTCCGTGTGGATTCCAGCCTGCAGAGGATAAACAAACAACGAGAGCAACACCAAGAGGCCACCCGTGACTATCGTCCAAGAAAAAATACACTTTAAAAAATGAACGACAACGATAGCCACACAAGTGCGCACCACGGAGTGTTTTGCATCAAGTCTCGCTGGGGTGGATAATTGTGTAAACTGCTGTACCTCTTTTGGCAATCCGCTTAAAAGATACCCGAACAAATCGCTGAGTGGAAACTGCTCACAGCAAGTAAGAGTCTTGAGGGGGATACAGGGACGTTCCAACGAGTGCTGGTGTTTTGGGGGAGTAATCAAACCCTCAAATTATCGTGATACCTTTGCTTGATGGAAACGCGCATGCAAGGTGGAGAAAAGGGACGAATACACACAGGTGACACTACACAGACACCACAAACAAACAGAAACATCCCAGCGTCACCAAAACATATGGACCACCACATCTCAGAAAATACCTGATTAGCCTTCTGAGCCAGGGCTTCTTTGTCGAGGGACGATTCCTCCACGCCCGTGAGGTCCTTCGCTTCAAGGTCTCCGGACTTGCGCATGAAGGACGCCTCGAGGCCGGTGATGTACAGCGGGGGGTAGATAGACCAGTTGTCCCACGCCGCCAGCAGCGCCATGATCCTGTTTTTCATTGTTTTCGGCGACCGTTGAACGGATTTCCCAGGAGGCAGACCGCAACAAAAAACGGCAGGAGGAGAAAATCAATAGGAGCAATAACAACAAACAATACCAACGGTTGGGTCGGATGGGTCTTGTGTGTGCGGTGCGTGTGTAGAACGCAAGAAGGGTGAGAAAAGAAAGCAGCAGCAACAGCTGTTAGCGTGGAGATGAGTAACCTAATTAGTTGGGTCGTGTGTGCTTCGTATGTTCGGACACGACAAGAAGGAAGCGCACAGTAGAGCAGCAGCAGCAGCAGCACACAGACCAACGGGCTTCCTCTTGTGAGCCCCGTTCTTTGCTAAATCTACTACATCTAGCAACGAAAAAACAAAATACAAGATCTACCACAGTAGTTGAAAAAACAAAGATCAACTTGACAAATAAAGAAACACAGTCACATTCAAACAAAATGACATAAAAAGAAACACGTCAAATTCAATAACTGACCTGTCTTCCACCTGCTTGGCAGTCATGCGCCCCTCCACGCCCCGGAACGCTTCATTCAGCCCGTCGAAAATCTAGATAACACAGAGGTTTCATTCAACAAACGTGACAAGCAACAAACGGGAAAAAAACACAACCCGTTTCGGTGAATTCGTTCGTTTGCAGCCGCCCGGCCGGTCAATTGTCTTCTCGTGGCGTCTGATCGAAGGTATACGAGACAACCGTAAGAGCTGTTCTCGTGCGTGATACAACGTCTCTGTCTTCTTGGTATTTTCCCCGTTGTTTCTTTCGTTGTCCTCAAGTGCCGAAGCGTAACACGACTAAATGACAACAGTACACAAGGAAAAATATGCCAGCAACGTTACCGGATGGGGTCCCTAGTCGTTCGAGAAATCATCATATGGCACCATCTAGACCAATATAAGCAGCCCTTACGGGTGGCCGAAACACCATAAACAGCCAACACGACTCTCATCCACGAAGGCCCACCACACCAGTCACACACCATGAAGGGCATGCTATCTGCCTAAGACAAGGAGCGCGCGGGTCGTGTTGCACGGCTTTCCTTCCCTCTCCGTCTCTGCTTGTGTCTATTTCTTCTCCGTCCCTCTCTCCCTCTCTCTCTCTCTCTCTCTCTCTCTCTCGGTCCCTCCCGCCCTCTCTGTCTCTGTCTGTCTCTCTCTGTGTGTGTCTCTCTCTCACCTCCGGCAGCCCCTTCTGTAGGTGCGTCCTGTACGAGGAGGCTTTCTTCACGGGGGCCGAGCTGTTGTGCAGGATGTCCGACAGCAGGTACAGCCTCGCGATTTTCACTGCGTTTTGATTATTTTTCGGGTTCACCATCATTCCCGTCAACATCCGATTCCAGGAGGTGCAGGCAAGCAAGAAGAGCATTTGGGCAGGGGCATCGCGAAGGCGAGTACCGGGAGCGGGGGGGGGGGGGGGGGCGAACCCTTATTTTTTGCCTGCCTTAACGGTTAAATCATTGACCCCCCCTCCCCCAAAGGACGGAACATTTTTCCCCCCGGACCAATTACCAAGGGCCAAT